GGGCAGCCGCCCTGTTCGCCCTGCTCTATATCCGCCCCTGCCTGGGGCGCTAAACCAAGATAGCATGTCTACATTAGGGAAACCTGCCTTGGACTAATTTTAAGGCTTCCCTGCAGTGTAGACATGCTATTTTGAAAAAGCTAGTTAGGAATAACTATTCTGGAATAGCTTATTTCGAAATTAACATGCAGTGTAGACGTAACCTTAAAGTTCTTTCAGCAAAGTGGGGGGGGAGGTTGTTTGATGCTGGCTATATAAAAGTTTTTCCTGCTAGGAGACAGAATGACATCATCACACTTTCATGCTCTCTGAATGCCATCATGCTCTCACGCACTCTGGCTGCAAAAGCCGCCAGAGAAAGGGGGGTTGGCAAGCATAGTGAGAGCAGTGCGCAGCCCACTAGTAATATTAAATAGTAAAGAGGGCAAACACAACCCTAAGGTGCATAAGAAGGGGAGTATCAAATAAGAGAGAGGTGGTAATATTTCTGTATATGGCATTAGTAAGACCTGGGTCATTCTTGCGGGTGAGGGGTGGGTGTTTCCGTAACACAGATAAAATAAGGTCACAGTGTAAGATACCTGCAAGTACTCTGGTAAATGGAACACTAGATTGGGACCCAACCGAGGTCAGTTCTATTTGCAGTACAGGCAGTCCCCGGGTTACGTACAAGATAGGGACTGTAGGTTTGTTCTTAAGTTGAATCTGTATGTAAGTCGGAACTGGCGTCCAGATTCAGACACTGCTGAAACTGACCGCCAGTTCTGACTTACATACAGATTCAACTTAAGAACCCCAAGCGTCCCCAAGTCAGCTGCTGCTGAAACTGATCAGCAGCTGATTCCAGGAAGCCCGGGGCAGAGCAACTCTGCGTGGGGCTTCCTGTAGTCAGCGCTGGTCAGTTTCAGCAGAAGCTGACTTGGGGACGCCTGGGGCAGAGCAGCTGGGGTGCTGCTGGGTTGCTGCTGGGGACGGTCCCCCGCAGACCACAGGCACCCAGATTGAAGCGGCAGCAGCGGCGGTTTCCCGCGCCTCTGAGGCTTTGCTCTGGCAAAGCCTCAGAAGCGCGGGAACCCGCCCGGTGCCCCTGGTCTGCTGGAGACGGTCTCCAGCAGACCAGGGGCACCGGAGCAGCTTACCAACGGGGCTTTCTCGCCCTGACTTCCGGGGCGAGAAAGCCCCGTTCGTAAGTGCGGATCCGACGTAAGTCGGATCCGCATAAGTCGGGGACTGCCTGTATTGTGAGTTGGGAAGTCGCTTATACCTCAGTTTCCCCGTCTGTATAATTGGTATCATATTATAGTTATATCCACTTTTATAAAGTACATATAGATATACTGATTGTAAGTATTATGTTACATGACTACTTAAAATATAAACTTTCACCACAGTAAACACATATTGGCACACTTGTTGGCAGTCTGAGCAGAGAGATCAATCACTGAATGAGTACAGAGATAGGAACGTGTTTTTTCTGCTTAAGGTTGAAGCATTTTGAAACAAAATCATAGGGGGTTCTTCCACTCAATTGCTACACTCAATCTATAATAAACACAGGTCTTCATTCTTCAGGCTTTTCTATCTGGTAGTTCTTCTGAGCAGTAAGTGCGTGAGCCACGAAAGGACCGAGGCCATGCAATGCCTAACTTTTAGGCATCCTGACATGGAATCCACAGCCCTGAATGGAGTATCCGCACTCTCTATACAATGCATAGGGAGAGCAAAGCACCTGAGAAAGATTCACAGAAGCCAGCAAAGTGATCTAGCAGTCACTGGAAACGCTAAGGAGGTGGTGGGGTTAGGAGGTTAGGTGCCTCCCACCACTCAGGAGGATTCATAGCTCTGGACTTTCTCCTCGAGTTAGGCACCTAAGCCAGGCCAGCCCTTTCTGGGGAAAAAAATGTTTTTTTGAGAAGACGGTGGGGATCCTCATTGTATCTAACAGCCACGAGTCAGGTCACTTTCCTGGGATGTGGGAGCTGTAGGCTTGAATCCCTGCTCTGCCTGAAGCAGGCCTGAGTGGTGGGAAGTAGGAATAAGAGATCCTCCGGAATAGGGCTTTATTCCGGAGGATCGGGGCAGTCTAGACACTTTTTTTCTGGCTTTTCCCCAAGCCGGAAAAAAAGCGGCGGACATGTTTAAATATCCCCAGCGGATTTCCCTATTCCCACTTTCAAAATTAGCATGCCCCTTCCGAAAACGGGGCCAGTGTAGACGTAGCCTATGTGTAAGAAATTTAAATGTGAGGTGGAGTGCTGGGGTCTCAGGGCTAAGGGGGTGAGGAGGGGCTACGGGCAGAGGGTTGGGGTGTTTGTGGACTGGTGCAGAAATTGGCGGTGTGAGCAAGGGCACCCTTTAAGGAGGGCAGCAGGGCGGAAGACCCCTCCCCATTCCTACCTGATGCTCCTTGTTGCTTCTCTTCCTCTTCCATCCCTGTCATGGAGCAAGAAGAAAGCTCACAGCGTGGGTCACTCGCACCTCTGCCCTCTCTCCACACCCGCCAGGAGGGGGAGGAATGCAGGGGAGGTAAGCGCTGTCCTCTTGCTTCCTGGCAGCAACTAAAGGGGAACAGCAAGCAGTGCTGATAGGAATGGGAGGGGGCTTCAGCCCCTGCCCTCCCTAAAGGATGTCTAGGAAGGGCTCAGGCCAGCTGCAGTCCCAGGCTGGTGTGGGGCATGTCCCCAGCCAGCCCCTTTCACCTGCCTGCTGCTTAGCCCGGCAGCCTGCAAGAGACACCCAACTGGGAGTGTGCCAAGCTTCCTTCTGCAGCAGAGCACCCCAGATGGCTCTTACTAGAGTGGCACACCAGGGCACACCCCCTTACTTTCACCTCTGCCCTCTTGAATATTTCCTACAGTTTTTTTTAAGTAACTTTAGCTGGAGCTGTGAAAGTATTTTTTCCCTAATTCATGACTATTTTCCCTTGTTTCCTCTGACCAAGGAATTAGACATTATGGAGAACATTTTCAGAAGAGCATTCTTTTTATATCTGCAAAAGGGAACGTACATTCATCTTGAAGTACTCATTTGGGTACCAGATAGTTTAAAAGAACAAATGCTTTCGATTTGTATCCACAATTTAGTTTTACGAGTACAAGTTTCGTAGGTACCATACTGAACCCACAAGAACAAAGGATGGAACTGAACCCATTAAAAACCCCTCTGTGAGCTTCATCTCCACAGTTACATGGATCATTGAGCTCAATACAGACAGCAAAATATCTCTGGCAGGTTTAAATAAAATTGCCCAGATTCTGAAGCTTTTTTTTAGTATATTAAGAAGATTAAATCTCTTGATCCAAATCGAAACACTCGAGTATATTGAAAACAATCTTGCAGAACTCTCAACCACTTTAGGTTACAACAGCATGCCATGGAAACTCATATACGAGCCCTGCTAGGAATATCAATTCTAGCATCACTACTATGGCATAAAACAGATGCTTTTAGAATTGAAATATGTGCTCACGAACTTATTCACAGGATCTGTATTTGAGGTAGACTGGAGGTGTCTATGTATCTGACATCCAGCTTATTAACATCGCGCTGCAGGATCTAAGCACTGCATAGGTAGAACAGATCTATGCACTGAGGTGGTTAATTGACTTCATGTCGTATTCTGCTTTTCTTGAGGTTCTAGGGAGGGAGGGAATTGAAATATGTGCTCACGAACTTATTCACAGGATCTGTATTTGAGGTAGACTGGAGGTGTCTATGTATCTGACATCCAGCTTATTAACATCGCGCTGCAGGATCTAAGCACTGCATAGGTAGAACAGATCTATGCACTGAGGTGGTTAATTGACTTCATGTCGTATTCTGCTTTTCTTGAGGTTCTAGGGAGGGAGGGAGGGTGTGTGTGTGTGTGTGTGTGTGTGTGTGTGTGTGTGTGTGTGTGTGTGTGTGTGTGTGTGTGTGTGTGTGTGTGAGAGAGAGAGATTTTTTTCTAGTCAAGCCGCTAAACTTCATCAAGAGGTTTGGGTTTTGCATCAGATTCTAAAGGTGACTTCAAAATTAAAATAAAAACTGCAAATTCTGCAAAGCCCAACCCATACTCTATATGGGCTAGATTGGGATGGGTAATCATTTTTAATGGGGGGGCAATCCACGAATTTGATAAGTGATTGGGGGCCACAAGTTTCTAGGATATTAATGGAGGGGCAGCAGGGTCTGGGATGGAGTTTAGGTATAGGTGGGAGCTCTGGGTAGAGGATTGGTGTGCGAGAGGAAGTGCTGGGAGGGTGTTTGGTGCAGTTAAGGATTCTGAACTGTGGGATTGGTGTCGGGGGCAGGGTCTGGGAGGGAGTTCGGATGCAGGAGCAGGTTGTGGTCTGGGGCAAAGGATACAGAGTGAATTGTGATCTGGGGCAGGAGTTGGGGTGCAGTCTCTGGCCAGCGGGTACTTACTATAGGCAGCTCCCAGCCAGCACCTCAATGGGACCCATAGGCAGGCTCCCTGGCTGCCATGGCCCTACATGCTACTCAAAGCACACATGTCCCTGTACAGTACACCGCTTAGGGGGAGGGCCGCAGCGGGTTTCTGTGTGCTGCATGAGCCTGCAGCTTCCACTGGCTGGTTTCCGGGCAGTGAGAAATTGCGAGGTTGGTGCTGGAGGTGAGGACAATGCATGAGCCCTCCACCAACGGACACACACCACGCAGACACACACACACACACTGGCCCCAGCAGCCAGCTGCTTTGAGCAGTGTGTGGGACCAAGGCAGGCAGGGAGTCTGCCCAAGGGTCTCGCTGGGTTGCAGTGAATCACATCCAAATGTTTGGTGGGCCAGATTTTGCCTGCCTCCAGTTAGATTCTGAAACACTTGTTCATTTCTGTGTCTTCTTCTAAGATCAGTGGTCCTAATCATGGAGTAAGATCCTATTTATTCCATGTGAGTACAGGCGTCAGAATATAGCCACATATCTTAAAAAACAAATCCAAGCCACCAAGTGATTTCCCACATAAATGAAATTCCTGTCATTTTTCTGTTAACAGCAGTTCTGCTGACGGTCTGCTGCATGCGGAGGAAGAAAAAGACATCTAACCCAGAAAACAACCTGAGCTATTGGAACAATGCTATCACCATGGACTATTTCAACAGGCATGCTGTTGAGTTACCAAGAGAGATTCAATCCCTTGAAACTTCAGAGGTACCATAGTTGCATGGTAACAAGTCCAGTGACTGACAAGCTTCTCTGAAATCGTACTAGATGAATAATATTAATAGACTTTTTTGAAAACTCTATGTACATCCAGGGAAACAACAAGAATCCACTCCAATATGATATGAGGATCCACTTACTGTATCTCAAAGATTGTTATGTCTGTTAAGTTTGCTAGAAAGCTCTGTTTGCAAGACTGAACTCCCTGAGTTAGGCAGTACATGACAAGTTTGCTAATTTTGGTTGTGTCTTAATCTGGGTATATCATTCCAATCAATGAATGGAAGTGGTTCAGGGTATTTTTTTTTAAACCAGCAGTTTGATTTGTGGCAGTTATTGTCTGAAGTGATTCATCTTAATTTTCGAATGTGACCACATATCAGGATGGTGGCACAGTGGAGTTAACAACATAAAAAATCTGTCTGAATGCC